ACAGTGGATATAAGTGTTTACAGAAGCAGAATTGTGTGACTTTTTCATGTAAGAAGGCTTTAATATTCTCCAAACAATGTTAGTCCAAGTACAAAGAACAAACACCTGTTCCCCACACTCCACTTTTTACAGGACTTCTGAAGTGAGCCTGCAATAGATAATAGGCATTCTGCTTCCAAACAGACTAGGCTCTGTCCCCAGTATTATTATATTAAGGTCAGAAACAAACTTTTTGAAAATGCAGTCATCCCATATAGCTCAACAATTTTATAGTGCTGGAAATGTACATTTCATTTAAATATAAATGAAATTATTTATATTATAGGTTTTTGTTTGTGGAAGAACAAAAAATTAGAAATATTTTCTACATCAATGAAAAATAGGTTTTTTTTCCAGTTATTCCTTTTCCAGATATTTCTGCTTCATGTTTATCCTCAAACACACTCCAGGGGACATAACAAACAGGAGACTTACACAACAGCAAGTCTGATGTGAAAGAAACAGACTAATAACTATTGATCCCCATAAAAACACCACTCCATAAAGCTGCTTCAAGTAGTAAATCTTGAGTGAAGACACCCTTAAGTGGCTACAGCTTAATGTATAGTGACCTGAAGAGGATATCTTCCAGTTTGTTGAACCCCTTTTTATCTAGCATTTCAAAAGCTAAAGAAATTGCTACTCCTGGTGTTTCTGTCTCTGCTGCTAGAGCACCTAGGATGGGGCTTAATGGTCTAGTGGTCTGCTAGTAATTACCTCTAACCCTGGAACTGTAGTGCCTAAGGGCATTTGGACTTTTGATATTTAAAGTAAAGGTAAAGGTTCCCTTGCTCGAAAGCCAGTCGAGTCCGACTCTAGGGTTGCGGTGCTCATCTCCGTTTCAAAGCCGAAGAGCCAGCGCTGTCCGAAGACATTTCCGTGGTCATGTGGCCGGCATGACTAAACACCAAGGTGCACGGAACGCTGTTACCTTCCCACCGAAGTGGTACCTATTTATCTACTTGCAATTTCTTGCTTTCGAACTGCTAGGTTGGCAGGAGCTGGAACTAGAGACGGGAGCTCACTCCATCATGCGGCAACTTGGGTCTCGAACTGCTGAACTACCGACTTTCCACAGCCTGCAGTTCAGCGTCTTAACCACTTGAGCCACCGCAGCTCAATTTGATATTTAGGGCTCCCAAAAAGGGCCATGACAATGACAATATAAAGCTATCCTTGTGGCCTTTCAGTAACTGCTTTGAGAGGGTTGGAGGTATGTGGGGCAGGAGTAGGGGTCACCTGAAACTGGTTCATCTGCACAGAGGAAGGGTCCTGCTTTAGCAGTGGAGCTCAAATCACTGTCACTAGTATTGCCGCTAAAGAAGTCTGTTGGATGGGGCTGTCTTTGCCCAGCCATTCACTTATACAAGAAGTCATGCCTTTTTGAATCCATACTGTAGTGTATTTTTCACCACATGTTTTCCTGGAAGAAGTAATAATCTGGCTTTATCAACCGTATCACAATGAAATCTGAAAGGAAAACATTATTTGTGGTTCTTATCAGTTCACATCCTCAAGAAAAGATAAACATAACCAGTGCCTGCACACAGCTGCTTCTGCTGATTGCTGCTATATTTCTTTCCTGTTTAATTTTTCTGAACAACTCTGTTTTCTGCCCAAAATTTACTAAAAAAAGTTTCATGGCTGAACAGAGATTTGCACTCCAATCTCGTTGGTCCAAGTATCTCTCCTATATTATAATCCTGTTTGGAGGTGGCAAGATTCGATGTGCACCAAAATCATTTGGCTGCCTGATCTGCCACCCACAATGTCTGCCAGTCCTCTGGCTGAATTGGGTGGCTGCGTGGCCTGTGTCCCACCCACACAGCTGGCAGCCAGTGTCTCGTCCTCAGTCTACAGAGAGCCGTCAAAGAGGATGGATGCTCTGCTGGGAGGACACTTGGGATGGCTGCGACAGGAGCCAGGGAGCCACCCAGGCTGCGAGGTGAGGAAAGCGTCTGCGATGAAGTCTGCTCGCAATGGGGTCCTCCCAAGGCAGCCTCAGCCTGGCTCGCCCTCTTCCCACATACATGCTTGGAGGTGAGTGCTGTGATGCTCCAGATGAGCCTGCCCAGCTGTGAGGTAGCCGAGCCCCTGCCAGGCCATCCTCCTCCTGCTGCGCTGCCACCACCTCCTGCACTGAGCCCAGCCCCTGCATTGGCCTGCCCCAACAGGCTGGGCAGGGCGCTCAGCATCTACTGCACCGCATTGCTCATCCCCGGACCGATGCCACCGACACTCCAGCTCCCCTCAGCTGCCACATTCCGGAAGGGAAGGCTGCAGTCTGCCCCGCCGGAGCTTACCCGCCCAGTCGGCTGCTGCTGGCTCATGCTCACTACCGGCCTCCTCCTGAGGAGGCTGAGGGGAAGGCCTGGCACTCTTAGGTGCACACTTTACTTGAGAGGAAACCCTCATGGAGCTGAGTGGGGCTTCCTTCTGAGTAGGCAGGCCGACTGGCCGGCTTACGCTGGAGCGCTGAGGGAAGGAAAGGGAAGGCCCGTCCTGAGGGGAAAACAGGCTGCGGGCACCCTGAGGAGATTTTCCCACAGTCCCCAGGATGGTTTACAAATGCATAGAGTTAAATTTAGGGTTGCCAATGCCTGGGTGGAGGCTGGAGATCTCCCGAAGCTAGCACTAGGGTTATTTGAAAAGCAAAAAAAAGGGAAGGATCTCTTTCCTGACTGACCACTTTGAACAAGTGGTTGCTATGACAAATCTCCTTTTAAATACCCCTACTATTACAGCTGTGGTCTTTGCTACTCATCTCTCCTTATATATATGTGGCTATGTTCAATGTGCTCAAGGCGGATTGCCATCATATCCTTCTAGAGCTCGTTGTATTGCTTGTATAACAGCCTTTGCGCCTAGTCAGAAATATGGTTTATTCTGCAAAGACATGTTCAAAAAATGCAGATTACCTGTGCTGCACTCTTTGAAAAGCATACCAAATGGTTTATGTTATAGATCAAATTTTGTCAACAAATGCAAGACTTCTCAGAAAAATACTTACATTCTTTCAGCATTTCGAGATCTTTCTACCTGTATGTTCAGCTCAACACAGCTGATGAATGGCATTTGCAATGACTTACTCTAGGTTATCCTACTGATGTTAGTGATAGTAGTTGAAACTAGTATTATTGTTGACTAAAGCCATGAGACACCCCAATCTTACACCTCATCCTAATCAATTTTATAGGGCACTAACAGACAGATCCAGTGTGGTGCAGAGGTTAGAGAGTTATATCAGGACTGGGGAGATCCAAGTTTGAATCCCAAATCATAAAGCTTACTGGGTAACCTTGGGGCAGTCACTCTCTCTCATTCTAACTACCTCATAGTGTTGTTGAACTAACACAGTGGAGGAAAGGAGTATGAATACTACCCTGAGCACTTCTGGGAAAGGACGAGATAAAAATGTTGTAGATACACCACAATCTTTCAGATAGCACAGATTTCAAAGAAAGAGTTAGAACAGCTTAACTTTAGCTGGCTCATGACCATAAAATTTATTTCAGAGTTGATGACCATGGGTTTTACAAAAAAATATTCCTGCCATGGTTGTAGCTATGACATCAACAATATAGTACTCCTTTTTTGGGGGGGGGAAGAAACAAAGCTCAGATGAAGTCTAGAAGTCAATGAGGGCACAGACAAGTAACAAGATCTTATAAACAGAAATGAAATTGCATGTTCTCCTGACAGAGGGTGCAGCTCTTACAAAATTAGATTCCAAGCCTTCTGCTACAAGATGTACCTTTAAAAAAAATCCTGATCCTTGTCCAACTCCAGGAAGCAATGCTTTGCTCCAGATTTTACTGCTAGAATTAGTATCAGTAGACTTAGCAGAAAGAGGCCTTTATAAATATGATTTTGGGAAGCAAAAGAATGCCTCATTGTATTGTTTTATTACACAGTGTTAGTATTAGTTGGGGGGGACCCACAAGGCCTTGCAGGAGGCATCTCATTTTCCCTTCCCTCACTACATCCTACTTCCCTTTCCTGAAAGCCCCATAACTTTGCCCCTTTTCTTGCTTACTTCTCTACTTTCCACCCACTCACAAGCCAACCTACCTTTATGGGGGGGCCTGTTTTCAGCTTCCCCCCTTTCCTCCCTCTGGCAGCCTCTCCCCAGGAAAACTATGGCCCAGTTGCACAGTGCCAGGTGGACTGGGGTGATTAGACTTCACTTTCTCCTGCATCCCCTCCTCACATTATTTCCTCTTTCTGCATTCTAGCAAATCCCACATCCTCACCTTTCCTTACTTCCTTCTCTCCTTCATACTCACCCATGAATCTAATTAATATCTGCTTTCCATCTTATTTTCTTCATTTGTATCCTGCCTTTCTTCACAATGGGAATCCAGTGCAGCTTACATCATTCGCCTCTCCTCCATTTTGTTCTCACAACAAATCTGTGAGGTAAGTTAGACTGAGAATATGGAACTGACCCAAAGTTACCCAGTGAGCTTCCACAGCAGAGTGGGGATTCATGGTCCCAGTCTAAAACTCTAATCAGTCTAAAACTCTAATTGCTTCTCTGTTGCCTTAGGGCATTGTTGTTGTTAGCCATTCACTCATGTCTGACTCTTGGCCATTCCACACCTGCAAATCCACCTTGTTTTCTTCACATGAGGCCACACAGAGAAGCATTTGCAGGCAGTAGGTTGCCATGACTTGGGACACACATCTCACAGGTGCTGTGTGCACAGAGAGGGCGAGTGAGAACACTGCCTACCAGACTACGTAAGGATGTCAGGGAAAAACTATACAACACACACACCAATGCACATAAGGAACCCCCTTTTGTTTGGAGAGGGCAGTTTCTTAACACAGCAATCCTGTGGGTGGAAGGTACTTAATCTTCACCATGTTTTCCCCTCAGAATCACCTCTAAGCTGCATTCTCCCCAGGTGTACTGTGAATTATTTCTTGTGTTCATGACAATAGCCAGACAACATGTTTATAAAACCTTTATTAATACAAAACTTGGTAAAAAAAATAGTTCCTTCTGTACAGTAACACATCTCTCCGATAACACTATACAAGATTTTTCACATATACAAAGTTGCACAGAACTGTAATAATTCAACTACACAAATCAAAACCAACTTTTTTAATGGACTGTCTTAATCATTACTACATTTATTCCCTCTGCATTCATTTTCTTTAAAGTCTATGTATATATTGCAAAATAGCCAAATTAGAACAGAGTGGATCAATTGTGCTGCTCCAGAACATTATGTAGATCTATATTCCTAATACCTGCCAAATATCTGCAAGTTTCCCCATTTAATTAACAAGTGACACTTCTGGATCTCAAAAATAACACTCTTGAGCAATGAAGTTGCGCTGTTCAGTACTACCCTAACAACTGCAAGATTCAGTTATCCATGTAGCAACCTGGTCCCCTCAGCATTTTTAAAGTCTGCGGGAGGAAAAAGCATGTCAAATGAAATCAGTTACTAGCATGAAGATGTTAATATTCATACTTAAATCATATAATCATGTGAAGATGTTAATATTCATACTGAAACCATATAATCATGCATTTCATCATGTGTTGAAACTAATTTTGAATATTATTTATAGTGAATATAAATGGAAAGCTGAGCTACGATAAAGTAGAAGGTTCTTTCATCAACAAACTAGTTAGAAAACAATAACAAGCTGGAATTCTAGTTGACATTCTGGTTTTAAAGCGAAGAAACAATGAAAAAAATGTGCACTTTTTGCCCAATCTTATTACATAGTAATAATGTGATTCATCAAGGTGCAAGTCATATGGTGTAAATCATATTCCATGTATCAGACAACAAAACAACATACTAAGATTGCAATGCTGATCAGATCTAATGTGGAATTATGAAATCAGTGACTTACATCCCTGCTACTGGATGGATCCAGCCAACTTTCTCACTCAGTCTCACCTAAGTCCTCTCCTTACTAAAGTTCCCATCTCTTGTGACTTTGCCTATGCATGCCTCATGATCCTCAGCATTAGCTTTTTAGGGTCAAAGAGGACCCCCTCCTCCTTTTTTCACAAGTGAAAAGGCTTATGGGATCCCTCCCAATATGTTTAAGATTGGGTTATACAAATTGCTTTTTAATGGCTTTTTGTAAATTCTGACAATATAAAAAACCTTTATCTGGCATTTGAATATGTCCGCATAGCTAACATTCTAAAATTTGAGGATATGATAGAAGTTTATTGTTCTTTTAACCTCAGCTACTGTGTTTCCAGCTTTGAGACAGAACAGCTTTGAATCTTTTTGCCCCAGACAGTCTACAGAAGCTTTTTAATTTAGTAATGGAAAGCCTGGATAATTAGCAGATACTCCACGCTAACAAGACTTTTCATTTGCCTTTCCTCCAATGATATGCAAGAGTCATTGTGAAATGCAGAACACCTGTTCACTGCTGAGAACGCTGCAACAGACGTGGAAAATTGAATTGATGACTGCCTCAAGAAAAGCTATTTGAACTGTGGTTAAATCCTTGGGAATTTGCCCTTCTTTTCTTGCAAGTGAAGTTTCAAGTAGTTTGTTTTCTTCACATAACTGAATGCAGCTGCCTGGAAGACCTGGAGTCTTTCAAGAAATGAATTTGTGTACGTAAGGTCATTATGGACACCCTCAGCTTGCAATCCAAGTCAGCTGTTAGCACTGAAAACACAAAATAAACATATACTATAAATATGATTTATAACAAAGATAGATATAAATTGCAGTAGAAACTTAAAGTACAGATTAAATCAGTCTAAGATTCAAACATTGTATCTTAAAAGCTTTTCATTTCTGTTCTGCATCATAATACAGATACACTAAAGCAAAAAGAGAATTAGTTCAAATGAAAAATGTCCCTCAAAAGAGAAGCAGTGCTTACCTGCTGGCTGATAAAGTTTTCCTGCCCACATTCTGAGGAGCTGACTCACATTGGAAAAAGCTTTTTATCCACCAACATTTTTCAAACACCTCAGGTAGCCCTGTAAATATATACACAGTGTAAGCAAATAACTGGAAAATACAACCCCAAAACAAACAAAAAAGAGTTAATATTAACTAAACAACAATACCGGAAAAAAATAAAGCACACTTGAGTCCCTTGGAAACATGTGGGAATGCATTATTCAGGATGGAAGAAGAAGAGATGGTTTTATACCCCACTCTTCACTACCTGAAGGAGTCTCAGAGCAGCTTACAATCGCCTTCCCTTCCTCTCCCCACAACAGACACCCTGTGAGGTAGGTGGGGCAGAGAGAGTTCTGAGAGAACTGTGACTGTCCCAAGGCCACCCAGCTGGCTTCATGTGGAGGAGTAGGGAATCAAACCCGGTTCTCCAGATTAGAGTCCGCCACTCTTAACCAGTACACCAAGCAGTGGAGGTACCACTGCTTCCAACAGAACTTAAACATGCTTAGCTTTTCTGGATTACACCCATAAACATAGAGAGCATCATTACCATGAAAGGGTTTTTCATGATCTGAGAAGTTCATGGGATCAGAGCAGCAAGATGAACTGCTTGAAGAAACACTGGATTCAGAATTCAGCCGTGCTGTGTGCGAAAAACAGATCTGACGTTACTGGTGGGAAAGTCACTTTAATATTAAACAGATCAGTGTGAAAGGTGACGCTGCCCTTTGCGGAATCTGAAAAGTATTTTATTTTACAAAAATCATCTCATAGTGCCTTCCTAAGCAGAACTGTACCCTTCTCAGTCTGTTGAGGTCAGTGGGCTTTCAAGGGTGCAACTCTGCTTAGAACTGTGCTGTCAGTTTCCTAATTTGTGGAGGAAAAACATATCCTGTGGCCATTTTTCACTCAGGGACCATGTCACTATCATATGATAATTCCCGTTTTGGACAAGGAAGAAGGGAAATAGATTCATATAACAAAGCAAAATGGAATGACTAAGATTAAGTCCTTACGTTCAAAGAAGTATATCATAAGGATAATTTGTTTAGGACTAAATGTTTCAAAGTGCAAGCATTACCCACACAGGATTCATTTACATATAACTGCTAAAATCTTTCATAGTACGTACACTATAACCACTGCTCATTTTCCACAGAAACACAAAGGTATGAAAGGCATGTCAATCTCCCTCATAAGAACACACACAATTTCAAAGCAGAAAGCTTACTTCTATAGTACTGGTTCTTTGCCAGAAGGCAGCCAGCTGAGGGCACAGTTGTCATTGCAAAGGAAAGGCAAGAATTATGTAGATGCACCTGCAAGACAAAAGAAAGTAAAAAACCTCCTTGTGAGTCTGCTAAACCACAGGGCATGCCAACATATTAGTTTCTTTATCGTTTAGAACCTTATTGCATTACAGAATGCAAGGTCTTAAAGCTAGTAGTTCAGGTTCCTTAATGAGGGGGACACTATTAAATGAAGCACGTGCAGAACTTTTCTACATGTGCCAACTATCTTGCCAACTATGCACATTACATGAAAACATAATCTCATAGATTTCAGTGTTGCAACAGCCAATTTGTATTTTATCCATAAATAGGGGTATATGTAGATAAATGAGCTCACAAGTTTAATGTCCAAGAAACACTCCTAGAATAGCGACTGTGCAGACAATGAAGAAAGTGTACTCAGAAACTGACAGGGAATCTTCTGTAAGTGTACTACTCCACTGTTACACTGCTCAGGCAATTAAACCTATGAGCAGCTCGTTTCACATTGCAGAGGCAATCCATTATGATACACAAACCAGTGGTTATTTCCACATAATTTTAAGGATAAGGGCCTTCCTTAGGAATTCCACTAACAGTTATAAGATTTGTACCAGCTTTGAACCCACAAAACATAAGTTTTTAAATTTTTCAGCTCAAAGGCGTAACACAGAAGAACATGCATTGGGCTGACAAAGCCAAACTGATGTTTGTTTATTTGTTTGCTTCATGAGAGCCAGCACGTGTAATGGTGAGAACATCAGACTAGGAGCTGGGAGACTCAAGATCAAATCCACACTTGGCCATCGAAGCTTGCTTCCTTGGGCCAGTTGCGCTCTCAGCCTTACAGGGTTGTTGTGAGGATAAACTGGCGGAGCAAAAATTGAGGTAAGCCATTTTGGGTCTCCCCACTGGTAAGAAAGGCAGGGTATAACTGAATTAAATCAAGTAAATAAATACATGTATACCCTGCCTGCCTCTTCAATAGGGACCCAAAGCTGCATGCACTGTTCTCCTCGCCTCCATTTTAGTCAAAGGGCATCTTTGTCAACGCCCCTGGAGACATTGCTATTTATTTTTATTATAATCTGCACATAAACACCTTCAGTAAATAAACCTTGATGGTTCCCATCAGCTGGGAAGAAGAATCCAGTGAACCCGTGTGGCTTGCTGGCATCCAGTTCAGGCATTCACCGCATGCCCACGAGAAGGGAAGGAAGCAAGTAAGGAGAGGTGGAGTTACCTGGATCCTCCCGCTCCTTTTCTAGGTAGCGCGTCGTTCCCTGCAGCAAGGGCTGGATTTTCTAACCGCTTCGCCCCAGTAGTCGCCACGAACTAGTTCAGCAGCTAGCGCGTTCGCCAGCTAACGGACAGCTACCGTGTCTCTCGCTGCTCCGCTGGCTTCAGGGGCAGGGGCAGGCTTTATATAAACCAGCCCTCTGGCGAAAGAGCTGGAACTTGACCCGGCGGCTGCGAGGGAGAGAGACGGGGAGGGCGCGCGACGCGTCACCCCGCTGTTGACTGGCCGCTCTGTCCTCTGGCAACCCCGGAAGGGCCAGGCCGGGTAAAGGTCCCCGTCGCTTGAGACAATAACAACATCGAGGAGCGCGAAGGCGGCACGTGCTGCTGGAGTGGTCCGAGGGGGCGGAGCGCGTGCTCCCGCGGCTGGACACGACTCGCGCCTGGGCAGCCTGTCCGCCCTTGGCTTCCATCTAAGACCGCTGATTTGTGCGCATTTTCCGTGGAGTAACTCTGCCTGCTACGGCACTGAAATGTGTGGGCTGAAGGCAAGGGGCATGATGGCCTGATGGGGAGCCACCCCAACCATCAAGAGTGCCGCAGCGAGTGACGGGGCGGCCCACCCAGTCTCGCTGTGGCAAGGAACAGGGGATGTACTAAAAAGGAAGGGCAGGATTGTCCTCTGGCAACCCCGGAAGGGCCAGGCCGGGTAAAGGTCCCCGTCGCTCGAGACAATAACAACATCGAGGAGCGCGAAGGCGGCACGTGCTGCTGGAGTGGTCCGAGGGGGCGGAGCGCGTGCTCCCGCGGCTGGACAGGACTCGCGCCTGGGCAGCCTGTCCGCCCTTGGCTTCCATCGAAGACCGCTGATTTGTGCGGATTTCCCGTGGAGTAACTCTGCCTGCGAGGGCACTGAAATGTGTGGGCTGTGGGCAAGGGGCATGATGGCCTGTTGGGGAGCCACCCCAACCCCCAAGAGTGCCGCAGCGAGTGACGGGACGGCCCACCCAGTCTCGCTGTGGCAAGGAACAGGGGAAGGAAGGACAGGATTGCCCATTGGAAACAATGGGAAACACTTGGAGGCCCATTGAAAATAATCGGAGCCAGAAATGCCAATTGACTTGCATGGCCTCCATTGAAATACATTACAGCTCAAGAAGAGTTGCAAAGAAAATGCGGAATGGATTTTCCATTAAAGTCTCTGGTCCCAAATACACTGCTCTGGGACTGGAATGACAGGCCCCAGAGTGGAATGACAGCCTCTGGGGTAGCAGATGTGTTCTGAGGGTGGAATGACAGGCCCCAGAGTGCATTTTCTTTGCAACTTCTTGAGCTGGTCCAGAATGCTGACTGGAGTGGGTCACAAGGACCATATCATTTCAGTCTTGTCCCATCTACACTGGCTTCCAATTTGCTTTTGGGCCTAATTCAAGGTCCTTTACAGCCGGGAGCCAGCATACCTTAAGGACCACCGTTTCCCATATATAAGCCTACCCATCCACTCTGGACATCTTCAGAAGCCTTGCTCTGGATGCTCCTGCCCTTTGAGGCTAAGCGGGTAGCAGCCCAGGAGAGGGCCTTCCAGTTCATGGCACCAAAACTCTGGAGTTCCCTCTCCAGGGAAATTCATCTGTCTCTGTCCTTGTCTTCCACCAGTGGGTGAAGACTTTTTGTTTCATTTAGTGTACCCCCAGTAAACTCTTACTGGCCCTCATCCCTGGTTGTGTTTCTATGTCTATATGTACTGCATGGTTAAATAGTCTAACATACATTTTAAATCCTGTTTTAATGTTTTAGATTTTGTAATGTCTTGCCACCCTGGCTACCCTATTTGGTTGGAAAAGCAGCATAGAAATGTTTTAAATCATAAATAAATAAATATATGTCAGCACAGTTATTCCGCTACTTTCAGCAACCAGTCATTATTTCTCACCTGTTTATTACCAAAAATAAAAGGAATGGGATCCAGTCTCCTATTTTCCCTTCTAGATGTTGCTGTTATGCTGTTGATCTTGAGCAGGGTTCACGTGTCACTATCATGGGTAGTAATGGGCAGATGGTTGAGTGGCTCCACCAAAGAAAGGCCAATCTTTCCCTTTCACTCCACATTCCTTTAATGGGCAGGATTCTGCTCTGAACTGTTTTTGTCTGCAAACCTTGCCTCTAACTGTTTAGAACATGCCAGGCAAATTGTTGCCACAAGTGGCAAGAGCTAGCCAGGTGCACCATGTCAGATCATAAGGCAGATCAAGCGAAAGAGACTCTTAAAAAAAGAGATACTAGCAAATAGCAACAGTGCCTAGCAGTTCCCTTGTATCAGAGGTCGACATATGGCTGGCCCAACCCCCCACAGTATGCCAGGGTTTTTGTTTTTGTTTGTTTGTGGCTGCTGGGAGCATGTCAGGTCAAGCAGAGGCTGGTGGGTTTTCCCTGTCAAGCCAGAAACCTAATATGTCTATGCCCATTCCCATACTCTGCATCCTAACATTCCCCAAACTTCAAATGTGTCTGTCACTGGCAGTAGTGAAGTCAGTAGGTGTCTACACTGGTACCTTCTTGTAAGGAGCCAAGACATCTTTTTGTTCATTTGTTGAAATCACAATGCAGCAAAAGGGTTTTTGGTCCTTGGAGGCGGATAGAATATTACAGAAATTGACTGCCGTAAAGCCACATTCAATAATGTCTGCCAAAGGTACAGAGGAAGACCAGTTGTAAAAATTTGAACTGAATGACTTAAATGAAGGAGGGAGACACTTAAATGTCATGTAAGGGGAAGTAGAGGAAGGAAAGTTTTATACTGATGGATGATTCAGATCACATTACTCCATCTCTTCCAGAAACTTCAGTGGCATGTCCTGTCCCTTCTCCTAAACATCAGGGCAGATTTAGTAACATCAATTTGTAGTGCATTTCTCAAAAGTGCTTTAAGTCCAAATGGACATTTACAATGTAATCCTAAACAGAGTTATACCCTATTAAGTCCACTGACCTTAATAGATTTAGAAAGCAGTTACTCTGTTTAGGATTGCACTGCCAGATTTGAACATGAACATAAACAAGCAACAGAGGTCCTGCCAGACCTTTGCTTAGTACATTTTCCTCCCATTTTGCAATGACCTCCTGTCAAAGTCGTAAATGGCAACTTATCCTAACACTCCACAATAGGAAACTTGGAGGCTAGCCCTGAGTTAAAATAGTATAGCTGACAAGGATACGTAGCTGGAAGCAAGAACTGTGCTGAAAATAGTAAGATCACTTTATGTTTTGCCACTTAGCTTTTTTTTTTTTTTAATATGCTGGGGCACAGTCCATACTGTGGTTATAGTAACAGGTATAGAATGTGACCATATTAAATTAGTTCATTCCATAGTTACTTTGTGATTTCATTTGCACTGCATCTATGGGAATATTTCTGGGTAGTTAAACATAAATGCACACTAATTTGATCTCCATTTTTGGCTCAGCATATCAACCACCTGTCCAGCCATATTTCTTCACTCAGTAGAGAATTTGCCCCTTTTGAGCTTGACATTCTGGTGTGCTAAAAGAAGGCTTAGGCAAAAGTAGATTAATGGTGCAATCCTTAACAGAGATGCACCTCTGTTCTCCATAGAGAAAGATCCTGATGAAATTTGGCCTGTTTGTAGTGATTTACTGTGTAATCCCTCTGCAGTTACTCCACTGATTTCTATGGCTTAAACTGGAGTAACTCTGCATAAGATTGCTCTGCAAGCATAAATTATGCAGCTCTCTGCTGCTGTGGGATCATATTCAGTTATCTACAGCTCAGATCAAGATAATTTGGTCATTATTATAAGACAGGTAGTCACAACTTCTTCAGTCAAGAAGAAGAGGAGGAGGAGGAGATTGGATTGGATTGGATTTATACCCTGCCCTTCACTTGGAGTCTCAGAGCAGCTTACAAACACCTTTCCCTTCTCCTCCCCACAACAGACACCCTGTGAGATAGGTGGAACTGAGAGAGCTCTTTCCAGAGCTGTCCTTGAGAGAACGGCTCTGACAAAACTATGGCTTGCCCAAGGTCATCCAGCAGCTACAAGTGGAGGAGTGGGAAATCAAACCCGGTTCTCACTACTGGATCTTTCTATCATGAGTAGACATGATAGAGGACTGGAAAGTAGCTAATGTCACTCCCATCTTTTAAAAGGGGTCCAGAGGAGATCTGGGAAATTACAGGCCAGTCTGACATCGATACCGGGTAAGTTGGTGGAAACTTATTAAGGAGAGAATTAGTAGGCACATTGATGAACAAAAACTACTAAGGCAGATTTAGCAAGGGTTCTGTAAGGGAAGATCTTGTCTCACTAACCTGTTAGTGTTTTTTGAGGGAGTGAACAAACATGTGGACAAGGGGGACCCAATAGATGTTGTTTACCTTGACTTCCAGAAAGCTTTTGATAAAGTTCCTCATCAAAGGCTCCTAAGTAAGCTCAATAGTCATGGGATAAAAGGACAAGTCCTCTTGTGGATCAAAAACTGGCTAATTAATAGGAAACAGAGTGTGAGTATAAATGAGAAATTTTCTCCATAGAAGGTGGTAAGCAGTGGGGTACCACAGGGATCAGTACTCGGTCCGATGCTTTTTAACTTGTTTATTAATGATTTGGAGTTGGGAGTAAGCAGTGAAGTGGCTAAATTTGCAGATGACGCAAAGTTGTTCAGGGTGGTGAGAACCAGGGAGGATTGTGAGGCACTCCAAAGTAATCTGTCAAGGATGGGCAAATTGGCGTCAATGTGGCAAATGGGGTTCAATGTGGCCAAGTGCAAAGTGATGCACATTGGAGCCAAAAATCCTAACTATAAATACACATTGATGGGGTCCGAACTGGCAGAGACTGACCAAGAGAGAGATCTTGGAGTTGTAATAGATAAGTCACTGAAAATGTTGAGAAAGTGTGCTACTGCAATAAAAAAGGCCAACACTATGCTGGGGATTATTAGGAAGAGAATTTAAAACAAATCAATCAGTATCATAATACCCCTGTATAAATCAGTGGTGCGACCTCATTTGGAGTACTGCGTACAGTTCCGATGACCACACCTCAAAAAGGATATTATAGCATTGGGAAAAGTGCAGAAAAGGGCAACTGGAATGATGAAAGGATTGGAACACTTTCCCTATGAAGAACACTTCATTGGATTGGAACACTTTCCCCAGTGCTTG